TCACCTATATTTTCCCTTAGTAATTTTACAGTTTCAGGTCTTATACTTAAGTCTTTAATCCGTTTTGAGTTGATTTTAGTATATGGTGAGAGATGCACATCTAGTTTCATTCTTCTGCATATGGATATCCAGTTTTCCCAGCACCACTTATTGAAGAGGCAGTCTTTTCCCCAGTGTAGGTTTTTGTTGCCTTTGTCAAACATCAGATGGCTGTAAGCCTGAGGGGTGATTTCTGGGTTCTCAGTCCTGCTCCACTGGTCCAAGTATCTATTTTTATGCCAGTACCATGCTATTTTAGTTAGTATAGCTTTGTACTATAATTTGTAGTCTGGTAGTGTTATGCCTCTGGCTTTATTTTTTGTTGTTGTTGTTGTTGTTGTTCAGGATTGCTTTGGCTATTCAGGGTCTTTTGTTGTTCCATATGAATGTTAAGATTGTTTTTTCCATTTCTGTGAAGAATGTTATTGGTATTTTGATGGGGATTGCATTGAATCTGTAGATCACTTTGGGTAGTTTAGACATTTTCACAATGTTAATTCTTCCAATCCAAGAGCATGGACTGTCTTTCCATCTTTTTGTGGAAATTAAACTAAAGAAGTTTAATTTCTTTAGTAGTGGTTTGTAGTTCTCATTGTAGAGATCTTTCACTTCCTTGGTTAAATTGATTCCTAGGTGTTTTATTGTTTTTGTTACTGTTGTAAGTGGCCTTACTTTCTTGATTTCTCTTTCTGTTAGCTCATGATTGGAGAATATAAATGCAATTGTTTTGGGAGCATTTATTTTGTATCCTGCAACATTACTGAAGTTATTAACCAGCTCTAGGAGTTTTTTGATAGAGTCTAGGTTTCTATATGTAGTATCATGTCATCTGCAAATAAGAACAGGTTGACTTCATCTTTTCCAATCTGGATGCCCTTTATTTCTTTTTCTTGCCTGAGTGCTCTGGCTAGTACCTCCAGTACTATGTTAAATAGAAGTGGTGAGAGTGGGCATCCTTATCTTGTTCCTGTTCATAAGGGAAAAGCCTTCAGTTTTTCCCCATTCAGAATGATACTGGCAGTGGGCTTGTCATAGACAGCTTTTATTGTGTTAAGATACTTTACTTCTATACCTAATTTGTTGAGAGTCTTTGTCATGAAGGGATGTTGAATTTTGTGAAATGCTTTTTCAACATCTATTGAGATAGTCATATGGTTTTTGTCTTTGAGTTTGTTGATGTGGTGTATCACATTCATTGACTTTCATATGTTGAATGAACCTTGCATCCCTGGGATGAATCCCACATGATCATGGTGTATAGTTTTTAAATGTGTTGCTGTATTCTGATCGCTAATATTTTGTTGAGGATTTTTGTATCTATGTTCATCAAGGATATTGTCCTGTAATTTTCTTTTTTTTGTTATGTCTTTATCTGGTTTTGGTATTAGAATTATGTTGGCCTCATAAAATGAGTTTGGGAGAGTGGCTTCTGTTTCGATTTTTTTGAATAGTTTAAGGAAAATTGGTATTAATTCCTCTTTAAAGGTTTGATAGAATTCAGTTGTAAAGCCATCTGGACCTGGGCTTTCTTTGCTGGGAGATTGCTGATTACCACTTCAATCTGGTTGCTTGTTTTTCATCTATTCAGGTTTTCTATCTCTTCTTGGTTCAGTCTGGGTAGTTTGTATGTGTCCAGAAACTTATCCATATCTTCCAGGTTTTCATATTTGTAGCTATTCTTATATCAGATAAAATAGACTTTAAACCAAAAAACATAAAAAGAGACAAAGAAAGCCACTATATGATGATAAAAGGATCTATCCAGCTAGAAGACATAATAATCATAAATATGTATGTACCCAATATTGGAGCACCCAGATATATAAAGCAAACACTCTTTGATCTAAAGAAAGAAATAGGCCCTAGTATGTTAATAGTGGATGGCCTGAATACCCTTCTCTCAGTATGGGACAGATCTTCCAGGCAACAAATCAACAAAGAGACACAGGATTTAATCTACACCCTAGACCAACTGGACCTGGCAGATATATATAGAACATTTCACCCAACAACTAAAGAATATACTTTCTTTTCATTAGCACATGGAATATTCTCCAGGATAGACCACATATTAGGTCACAAATCTAGTCTCAGCAAATTAAAAAAAATAAAAATCATTCCGAGTATCTTTTCAGACCATAATGGACTAAAACTGGAAATTAATAAGCAAAACTCTGGAAAAAACACATGGAAACTAAACAATAGGCACCTGAATGCCCTATGGGCCCAAGAAGAAACTAAATGAGAAATCAAAAAATTACTTGAAACTAATGATAATAGAGACACATCATCCCAAAACCTGTGGAATACCGCAAAAGCAGTACTAAGAGGGAAATTTATTGTAATAAACACTTACATCAAAAGAATGGAAAGACTTCAAATAAACGCCCTAACGCTACACCTCAAAGAGCTAGAAAAACAACAATCCAATCCTAAAGGTAGCAGATGGAAAGAAATAATTAAGATCAGAGCAGAACTAAATGAAATGGAGACCCAGAAAACAATAGAAAAGTTGAACAAAAGAAATAGTTGGTTTTTCAAGAAGATAAATGAAATAGAAAAACTATTAACTAGGTTAACAAAAAAAAAAAAAAGAAGAGAGAAGACCCAAATATCGGAAATGAAAAGAGAGACCTTACAACTGATACCACAGAAATATGAAGAATCGAATGATTATAAACAGCTGTATGACAACAAATTAGTTTGCTTTAGCACTTCTTTTTTCTTTTTTGATTGTACATTTTAGGGAAGCCATAGGGTGTGTTCAATCCAATATTAGATGACATGCTGATTTGGGAGGGAGTTCAACTTTCCTTTTTACTTTCACAATTTAATGATACCTATTTTTATTTCAAGTATTACAGGTGGGGAAATGGGGCTAAAATAAATGAATAATGAAATCAGATGGTAGGAGGTGTCCAGGAAGAAGATCTTTGAGTCTAGGAACAGCGTTCCCGTGAGGATGGCTCTGGCAATGCAGGTGAACAAGTTCCCGTGCATTCCCTTGGCTCCCACCTCGGCGGGTGCCCCAGACCACAGGATTGCACTTCACCAAGTAGGCATCTTGGTGTTGTTCAAGACAGTAGGCATCATACTGTACCCAACATTATCTGCTGGAGAAATCAAAGGGGCACACAGATCTTAACAGGCAATGTGTTATAACAGCACAGCCAATAGGTTGGGGAAGCCTAAGGGAATGGCCCTTATTTGTCTTCACACGTTACATTTTCTTTAACTCCTTCCAGGGGTTGTGAAGAAGTGTGTGAGCCCCACCCACGCACTGGTGAGCTTCAGGTATGGAGACACCAAGGTTGTGCCCACCTCGTTCATCACGCCTGTGGGGGGTGCCATGCCCTGCCCAATGCTCCAGGTACCTGCTCCACAGTCTCTTCTGGGCCCCCTTTTCACCATCCAAAGGGTTTTGGATAACAGGGCCTGGCAAGGCCACTGTTTGGCCCTTTCCTGAACCCAGGCGGGCTCCTGTGCGGAGCTTGTGCTTGGGTGGGAAGAGCAGAGCCCTTGCTCCAGGGACCCATCGCCTGGCAATTTCTTTGCTCATGAAATCTGCCAGTTCCCTGTTACGGTACTCAGGGCTGCAAAGACTTAATATCATTGCACCCTGAGGCCCTTGTAAGCCCTTTACAAGAAAATAGATGGTTAGGGGAAGGGCATTGCTGTAGCTGCTTCTGTTCTTGACACTTTAATTGCAAAAGATTGTATTATATTATATATAATAACAAGAGCAAATGCTGTGCTTTCCTTGACATTGCAGTCAGTTGACATCAGACTGTGCTGCTGTAGTGCACAGTTATCCCAAACGTTCATCCCTTGGATTAGCTGGACCAGTGTGTTCTCATCTGCTCATAAATTCATAAAAGCTATCCTGGGTCGGGCCCTCCTACCCCTGTCCTCATCCCAGCACCAGGGCCAGGGAATAGAGAGAAAGCCTCACAAAGTGCCACTGCTGCTCTTTCTTGTATAATGTGAGCCAGGAGAAGTTTGGGATGAGGAATCAGAGGATTTAGCCATGGCCATCTGTTGCAGCTTCCCCGGCCAGACCCCATGGCATGCGTGAGTGCACTTGCAGCCTTTATACACCCCTTCAAGGGGTTCTCTTCCCGCTGCAGGTTACCTTTTTGCAACTTTTAACTATAGATTCCAGGCATGTGCTTTGGGGCAATATTAAACACACCTCCTTTCCTCTGTCTGGGTGACAGCCCTTCTGATATATGAGGACACTGTTCATATCTCTTTATGTCAAACACCGCAGGTTTCTTCAACCAGACTTTGTAGGATTTGGTTTCCAGAACCTTCACCATCTTATTGGCTGTCCCCTGGATCCTTGTCAGGTGTCAAAGTTCTACTAAAGTGGGGCGTCCCCAAACTGATCACAAATCCAGGTGTGGCCCTTTAAGCCCAGGGAATTTTGGAGCTCTTCCTTAACTGAGGAAAGAAAATTGTATTTGAATTTTAGCATGAGAACTTGCCAACTGTCTTGAGGTGTTTTAAAACAAACATTAGGGCCGGCCCGGTGGTGCACTGCTACAGTGCGCCGCTTTGGAGCGTGGTGGCGCTCCCGCCGAGGGTTCGGATCCCACGTACAGACTGGCCGCTCACTGGCTGAGCGAGGTGCGGGCGCAACACCGAGGGGTGGGATCCCGTTGCCGGTCCGGTCCGGTTCGGGCGCGACACTGAGGGTTGTAATCCGTTGCCGGACACGAAAAAAGACAAAAAGGAAGGAAAAAAAAAAAAAACATTAAACTATCTGTATGATCTATAAGGAACAAATTTATTATAAACTATGTTCTCCTCTACAGGTTGGAGATTATGTGTTTGCCAAAATTGTGATCCCCAAAGGATTTGACTTCTATGTCCCTGGCATTGTCATAGCACTTCCCAATCAGGATGCATCCTCAGAAAAATTGTACACAGTTTTGAAGTGCAACAATCGGAGAGTAAGTAGACTTCCATCTGGAACAGGATTTTCATGCTGGGCAGAACGTGGCTTTTTCCGGGGCAATGCTAGCTCTTTCCTGTCACTGCCAGATGTCGTGAAGGAATGATTTCCCTGGCTGTGTCCTTCACCCTCCTCTCTCACTCCCTGTGGCTGGGATTCCACCTTCACTGAGATCGGCCTGGCCTCCTAATTCCTGTGCCGGGCGGTCTTTGGCTCTCCTTGCCAAACTGAGCTGTGCTTTGACAGCAGAGCAGGCTCTCTGGGGCTCTGCAGCACCCTGTCTCTCACTCCTGTCCTCCTCCTCCTCGGACTGCTCCCGCCTGTGCTCCTCTGCCAGCCCTGCAGATGTGGGCCTCCCCTGGGCCCTGTCCTCCTCTGTGGCCTCATGGCCTGTCTCTCGGGTGAGCCTCCATTGTTGGGGTCCTCCCATGTGCCAGGGGTGACAGCCCCCACTCCCAACCTGAGCTCCAACCCTGCATTCCCAGCTGGGTCCTCCTGGAGAGCTCCCTCCAGGTGAGCCACATCACCTTTCCCCCAGGCGCCTTCCTCCTCCTGCGTTCCCTGTACTGGGGAGTGCCACCACCTGGCTCCCATCTCACACCTGCTTAGGAACGAACCACCACCAGGGTTGGCTGAGAGATGAGGGGACACAGGTAAAGTGGAGCAGAGTGAAAAGAACACAGGCTTTACAGTGAAAAAAAATGAACTGAGCATTCACTCTGCTCTTTAGTGGTTGTCTCATCAGGGCGGGTCGCTTCACCTCTCTGAGCCTCGGTTTCATTGTATGTGCAGTGGGTTTTCTATATATCCATATCTACATCTGTACCGATATCTTTTTCTACTGGAATATCTATGTCTGCCTATACAGTCATGCCACCACATAAATATGTTTCAATCAGCAAATTGCTGCATCTGTGATGGTGGTCTCGTAAGGTTATAGTAGAGCTGGAGGTGTGCAGCAGACCATACCATCTAGGCTTGTGTAAGTACACTATGATGTTAGCACAACGACAGAATCGCCTAAGGACACGTTTCACAGAACGTATCCCTGCCATTAAGCACACATGACTGAATATATAGATAAACACACACACATATATCCTTAAAGAAAATACTGTCATCCCTTGGTATCTGCGGGAGATTTGGTGCCCTCATGGATTCCAAAATCAGGGGAGGCTCAACTCTTAAGTCAGCCTTCCTTATCCTCAGGTTCCACATCTACAGATTCAATCAGCCCCGAGTGGAAAATACTGTATATGTAAAAGCTCTGCGTGTCTGACGCACAGGTATTAGGTAATAGTAGTAATGACGCAGCCCTGGTAGTTAATAGCATCACTTTGAATCTTTTGCCCTCTCATTCCCTGTAGCCCATGAGCGGGAGGGATTTGGTTAACTCTTATCACCTCTAGATCGATTCGCTCATTAGACAGAGGTTTGTTAAGCACCTGTATTTTCTATTGGATTATTTGTCTTATTGATTTGGAGAGTTCCTCTATAGCTTCTGGGTAGTAATTCTTGGTACTACATGCAGCCAATATTCTTTTCCCAAGTCTATGCTTGACTTTCAATTTTGTAATATTTGTTGATAGAGAAACTTTAAAATTTAATATGGTCAAATTTATTCAGCTTGTCCTTTATAAATTGCCCTTTCTGTGTTTTGTTTAAGAAATTTGTCCTTAACAATGTATTTCTCTAAATGTATTTTTTCTAAAAGTTTGAGAAAAATTCTTTATCAGTTTACAAATCTGATTATGTCATTTGCCTGTGTGATGTCCCCCGCCTACACTTCTTGTCACCCTCAAGGAGAATCCCAGCAGGAGCCCAGCCTGTCCCCAGCTGCCCCCGACCTTGACCTCCAGCTAACTGGGAGGTTTGCTGCCTGCTGCTTCCTGAACATAGTGGGCTCTTCCAAGCCCCTGAGCTTGTACCTATTACTGGACTGCCCTCCTTACCTCCTTTCCATAGGGAACTCCTGTCACCCTAAAGACCCACCCCAGTGTGACGTCCTGCTGGGCCCCTCAGGGCTGTCCTGCGCACTGCCCTGCCCTCTTCCTATGCTGGCTTCCTCCCCAAGCACAGCCCCTGATGAAGAGCAGGTTCCCATGATTGTTTTTTAAATCCCTTGAATCAGTCCCATTTCTAATGGAAAATAACATTGTCTTGATGGGCCACTTAACATGCCTGGAAAATAGACTGGCAAGTGAAATAGATTGGTAAGCAAAAAGCAAAGTGACAGTGGCTAACTTTATTAAGCCCTTACTGTGTGCAGCAGGTACAAAGCCAGGTATCTCACATGTAGCGAGCAACTGAGTCCTCGGAACACGGGTGACGTAGGGACTGTTGCTACCCCCATTTTCGGATAAGGAAACTGAATCAGAGAGGTTAAGTCACACACCTGGTAAGCACACAATCTGGCTCCATGGCCTGAACTCCAAACCACTGTGCCCAACCGGCTAGTAGACAGAATACAAATATCCAGTAAATTCTTGACTGTGGCATGAGGTACTTCCATCAGGGAGAGGAGCATAGTAAAGGAACTTTAAGGTTAAGGGCAAAGGGTGACTATCATGGGAGCCGGTGGCCACAGGAGCATTGTATCCCATCTGACAGGCAAGAGGAGAGGGGATGTCTCATCAACCCAGGAAGAACCCCCTGGAGAAAATGGAGTTTCCTGGAGCTGTCTTGACAGCAGGAAAGCAGCAGGGTGGAAGGCGGAACATGGGGAAGCTTTCCTGGCACGTGGCACTATTCTGGGGATATCTACTGTGCAAGGGGGGACAGCAAACCAAGGGACATTTTAAGAGATGTCCCCAGGGTGTGTGGAGAGATGAGGCAGTTGGCCCAGGATCCCTGAGAAAAGACCTCGGAGCCCAGGGAAGCACTTCAGAATTTATCCACAGGACAGGGGGGCCCTGGATGCTGGAGTAGCATGGCCAGGGGAAGGACACTGGAGACAGCTCGATGGAGATTCTGGGAGACCCTATGAGGCTGAGGGTGGGGTATTCAGCAAAGGGGTGGTGGCTATAGTTGTCCAAGAAAGAGATGGCCAAGGCTGAAATAAAGATAAAAAGAAAGGTGGTTATATAAAGGGCTGTTGTAGTGTGTGTGTGCGTGTGCATGTGTGTGTGTGCGTGCATGTGTGTGTGTGCATGTGTGTGTGTCCGTGTGTGTGTGTGTGTGCGTGCGTGTGTGTGCATGTGTGTGTGTGTCCGTGTGTGTGTGCATGTGTGTGTGCATGTGTGTGTGTGCGTGTCCATGTGTGTGTGCATGTGTGTGCATGTGTGTGTGTGTGTACGCACACATCTTAAGTGGGCAGACTTGGCAATTGACCAAGAGAAATGACAGAGAGGACTCTGCAAATAAAGGACTTTTATTCAGCAAATAATTATCGAGTGAGGCTCTGAATTTAAACTGCCCTCTTAAGTGTCACACTGAAGAGGATAATGATAGTAGCTTTCATAGTGGGTTGAGCTAGAATAAAATTATATCTGAATTGTGGACATTTCTGATTTAAATTGTGTGAACTCTTTTGGTGTTATTGCAGGAATTTTGCCCTCGGAGTGCACTTATTAAGATCAGCCAAAACAAGTATGCTCTCTCTTGCTCTCATATAAAATCGCCCCCCGTTCAGGAGGATCCAAAAAAGTAAGTGTACCCGATTCTACTAGCCCTTGAATATTCATTTATATCTTTGCACTGTTGATCTGTTTTTGAGTTGAGATCCATGACCTCTAAATACTAGGGTGGAAAAGCAGAGGCGGGAGGCTTCCTGCACAGAGTGCGTTCTGTGATTATTGCCCCTTCAATGTCACACCTTTCACCTGCTGGTTATTCATCCATCTGGCTCCAATTGCAACATTATTTAACTGACCCTTCAGAAAAGCATTCAGTCCTGTCATGAATATGAAGGAATTGTTTCCCTTTTATTTGTAAGGATTTAAACCCTTCTAATTTAGTTGCAGTTGGAACCAATCGCCTGCCTGCCTCTCCCCTTGTTGGGAGGTGGGAGGGAGGTGCCAGTCCTGGCTTACCAGGGGCCAGGTGAGTGTGCGGATGGGTGGGTGTGTGGTGGTTTCCGGGGGCTGCAATGGGGTGAACAAATTTTCATCTGAGGCCATAGGTTTCCTCAGAGCGGTAAAGGTGGATCACAGCAAAGTCAAGAGGAACAAGCTGAGGCCTAAAGAGCATGCAAAACCCAACCCTGGGGCCAACAGGGGCATCGAGTTGGAGTCACAGAGCCATGACCTTGGACTCAGGCTCACAAAAGAGGCGAAGGTGGATTTTGAGCAAGGGTTGGGGAAAGGGATGCAGGACTCATCCTCCATTTCACTTAGAGTTTGCGGCTGTCTTTGGGTGCGAACCTTTGTTCTCCCGTGGCCTTGCCTTCCACTTCTTTGCAGAAACCATCTTCCAGCCTCTCCCTCCGCTTCTTATCCCCCACCTCTGGGCTTGTGAAAACTCTGTCTTTCCCTCAGTGTCAAAGCATTAGTGTCCCCCTACCATCCAAGGCTGATCTGCCCACCAGGCTCTGGAGGCCCGTCACCTGCTGCCCCGGGGCCTTGCTCCGTGGGTTATCCCTGGACTCTCCTCTCCTCTCTCTTGGGCTCCTGTCCCTTGAGTCCTTCACCTCAGCAAAATCCCAGGCTCGCCTCCCCTATTTGCACACGTGTGTGTTGCACACACGCACGCACACACACTCCTGAGTACATGTGGCTGCCCTGGTTCTGCAGTGTGGACTGGCACCTCCTTCCCTGCCCACCAGGCTCCGCGGGCAGTGCACGGACTTGGTGTCTCCCCTCTCTTGCCTCCTAGTCACTCCCCAGCCCTGGGGGACTGGCTTCTACTCTTAGGTGGGAGAGGCCGCTCAGGACGACTCACAGGCTGGATCCAGTCAGCACTGCCCAGCCTGACCACACGCGCTCCTGCTGCATGTCTGACACTGTCAGCCACTCCGTCCTTCCCTGTCCCCCTCCTCCTGAGGCTTGTCATGGCTCCACCTCTCTGCGTTTTTTCCCTGCCTGATGTCACTCACATCTGCTGCTTCCTTGACTCCAGTTACACTGCGGACCCCATTCCTCCTTCTCTCCAACCCAGGCCATTCTCCGGTGCTCTTGCACCAGAATCTCGGACTCCAAGCGTGGGACTTGCAGTGGGTTTTCTTCAAAGGCCCCCAGGTGGCTTTTTGAAAAAGCAGCCATGGTGGATAACTTGAGGGGATGGGGCATCGGTAACTAAGACTCAGGCTCGCATCCCGAGCCCACCCTCACCCAGCTCTGTGCCCCTGGGCAGGCTGCTCATGGTCTCTGAGCTTGTTCTCTCATCCGGAAGATGAGGGAGGTCTGAAGACCGGGCATGGTCATTGCCTGACATGAGACACGTGGCGGGAAGCGCATTATTTCCAACCACCTGCTGGATGTTTCTACCTGAGTGCACAGAATCTCATATTTAGCACACCTGAGACTGAAATCGTAGTTCCCCACAAACCTGTCTCAGTTCACTCTTCCACCCAGTCACACAGTCGTCCAAGCAACAGTCTGTAGTCAGCTTTGGCTGCTTCCTGTCCTTCACCCACCACACCCCTCGGTCTCCACGTTATTGTGATCCTAACTTGCAAATATTTCTCAGCTCTGCTGTACCCGTGCTGCCTTAGGTCAGGGGCTCTCAGTCGCCGCAGCCTCCTCCAGCCCCGATGCCAGGCATTCTCCGTGAGTCCGAGAGAGCAGGGTAATCCTCCGCGTGTGCACATCTACTCTTGCCCCTCCCCCACTTAAAAAATCCTTCAGTTTCCTCCTTCCTCCGCCCCTTCCTGTCCTAGCTTAGCCTCTTGGTGGTCTGACCCAAGCCTGCTACCTAGCCTCACTTGTCCCCAGCCACTGCCCTCCGCCCCTGCAACGCCCTCTGCACACTAACCACACTAAACCACTTGTAGTTTTTCTCCCCAGTCTTTCAGGTCTCCGTGCCTTTGCATAGACTAGTTATTCCCTCCCTGGAATGCTAGTCCCTGCCCCCCGCCCCCTGGGGAATGCCAAGATTGAACTCAAGCATCACCACCACTGTGCGATGTCCCACGTAGCGAGGTGACCCCTGCCTCCTGTCGAGGTTGACATTATGGAACACTTCCCTTGCACTGGCCGTGTAGGCACAAGTCCTAGAAGGTAGGGGCCAGGCTCTGTCTTCCTCTGAATCCCAGTTGCCAGGGTCCAGCTCACAGGACAAGCCCAAGGACTGACTGAAGAGGGAACCAATGAATAAACACATGCTAGTGGGCACCCAGCGTGCTCCCCGAGGGCCACGTCGTTCCATAGAGAACCTTTCCTTGAGTGTGGTTATTAAATACATGCTGCGATCCTTCACTCTTTGTCTAGATGCGTAGGGTATTTCGTTGTTAATATCAAAACCCTGCTCAAACAATATGATACCCAAATTACAGTACATTATAAAGGAATATGAGTAGATGTATCTAGGGAGTGCCCATTTTTACTAAACTCAAATCACCAATCACTATTTTAGAATTAAAATTGAATTCTTTCTCTGTTGAGAAAAGCCTTTTATTGTTTCCCATCTTCCCCAGGCCTTATTTAAAGTTCTTCGCTGCTAATTATCTACTCTCGCTTCTAGGGCTTTACACAGGGGAAGTCTTCATTGACTCCCTAGCCTCCTGTTGCAATTTCCACTGTGTTTTGCTCTAGCTGCCTCGCTGGGAGCAGGAGACTGTGTTTAATTCTCCTAAGCAGAGGTAACATACTACCCATTAATTTCAGAGCTTGATCAGTCTCTGTTTCTATACACAAGACTAGCAGAACTGAGCACAAAAATAAAGGTCTATTTTGCATGTACACTGGGATTTCTTTCTAATAAGTTTTTTCATCAGGATCTCTTCATAAATGTGCCGTCTCCCTTCAGTAGTTCTCTAGTAAGTCTTCATGCCATTATACCAAACGAGAGCATTAAAAAGAGATCCTAGGGGCCGACCCCGTGGCGCACTCGGGAGACTGCAGTGCTTGGGAGCGCAGCGCGCTCCCGCAGCGGGTTCGGATCCTATATAGGGATGGCCGGTGCACTCACTGGCTGAGCGCAGT